GGTGTTGAAGCGCCTTGCTTTGTGAGACGCTCCGCCTCCTCGTTGATCTCTATGCCCTGGTGTCCTGGTACCTACATCAGAGTTGCTTTATTCCTCCCAGCAGTCCCAGCCAGTTGCTTAAGGATATTTTTTATACTCTCTCAAACTAGCTGAGAATTGCACTTGATGGCTCCTATAGAGCCTTTGAGCCGCTTGACTGTCGGACAGTATGTAAATGTGCTCTCTAAAAGACCTCTTTTTAGACAATCTTGTGCACAGATGTTTATGGCGAGACTTCAGCTTGAAATTTTGTGGCCTTTTTACCCATTGCTAAGGAGGGTTTAAAGTTTGGTCCAGTTACTCCCAGACCGACTCCTTCCGTTTGGCGTTCTTTTAGAACCACTTCATATGGAATGTCAAAGTCCAGTGATGTCATCATATGATCTGTTGGTTTACTTTGGCACTTGAGCCTTAGATTGAAACAACAGGTAGTATCTTTTACTTCATTTCTTTGAAGCATATGCTTGAGAGTAAAAGGTCTTCATTATTCATATGATATGAAGTAAATGCTTCTACTTTCACCTTTTACTTAAAGCTTTTGCTTATACTTCTACCGTTTGCTTAGAAGCAAATGCTCTATTTTTATTCATACGGCTGAATGTGTATCTTCCAATCCAATCTCTGATCAATTTGCAATCCCAAAAAACGCAAACTCTCCAACGACTCTAGCTGATCACCATTATAAGGTATTAAAATATTATTATCCTTTCTGACCTTTCTGTTACCAAAAGTAAGATATTGTGTTTTAGTGACGTTTAGTTAGTGTCGGTACAAGGTATGAAGCGTGTTGTGTATAGGGCTGCCCTCCATCCGGATTTCCCCGGATTTGTCCTAGTTTTTAAGGTGTCCGGGGACGTCCGGGCGGATTTTTTGGAGCTATCCGTGTTTTATGATTCACGGTATCTTGAAAAAAATCACGAATTCCGCGGAATTGACAAGAATATTCTAAAGATGACGTACCTATATGTACATATAGCGTATTCGTTCGTAATTTCTCGACATCATCAGTTTTATTTGACTCAAGAAGTTCACATATCGTAAATCATGTTTGGAGGTCAGTGAGTGTGAGTCCTATTACCCTATCATGTTATTGCTTATAACAGCTTCACCAAAGAACTAGCTGTTATTTATTCACAATCAGTTTATTTATAGTAAAAAACCTATGAAAAACACCAAAAAAGATTTTTTTTTTCAAAATAATGTGTGGTTCTCGAAGGCCTAAAATAAACGTTTTTGGGAGTGGCACCAAAAAAAAAAATTCTGCCTCTGGCGGCCTACCCCATAGTGGTGTCCGGGTTTGAGGGGTTAGAATCCGGGGTTTTTGTAGGTATTGTCGAGGGTATTGTCCTGGGTAACAAATTTCATAAATGGCAGCACCCCTAGTTGTGTAAGCAAAGAGTGTGTTTCTAAGCTCAAATTTGAATTACACGCTAGGGACTTGTAAAATTATATAGGGCATCACATTTCCTATTAGGCTAGTGCACATAGTCTACCACTACACAGAGCGCTCATCATACTGGACTTGTTGAATTATATCTGACGTCGCGTTTCCTATTAGACCAGCGCACACCTTCTGCGATCGTCTGCAGACATGCATTGCACTGTAATCCATTTCATTATCGTTGCCATTTTTGAGGTTAATTGGTTTCAGGTGGGGCAATAATTTTGTAATATTTCTTGTTGGGTTTCGTTTTATTATTTCTGTTGATTCTGCACTGAGAAATCCTCTAGCAAAAAATTCTTTACTAATGGATTTTCGGCTATCATAGCAGACATTGTAGCTGTAATTGCAAAACGATCCTATTCTAGTAGTAGAATGCAGTTTACTAAGTTAGCAAAAAGTACCTTGGTTGTAACAGTAAAGTTTTTTGCTGCCACTGATAGGTATATTTTTCCTGTAACAGTAGAAACACTTATTATTAATAGTATATTTTCTACCGCGGCAAAGTGCTTGCCTGCAATTATGAAAAAGTTTTTCATAAGTTTTTTTTTTACTGCTGGAAAGAATTTGACTGCTATAAAAAAAGTTAAACTCTGCGAGTTGTTTTATTAATTATTATTAACCTTGCGTTCGGTATTTTGCTCAAAGAGAAGAGCGTGCTGAGCGGAGCCGTAATCACGTGACCAGCGAGCGAACAGAGCAGTTGAACGCTGTATAAAAGTGCCAGAAATTTTAATAAACGAACGCGAATGAGGCTGCACCGAGTACGCTTTTTAAATAAACGAACGGTAAAGTCAAGCTTGGAGAACTCAGACCATAATAACGAACGCACGGTATAAACGAACCCAATGTTAAAACTCATGTAACAGAATGGTTGGTAATATGAGCGTCGTTATTTAATTTATGTGCGCTGGTCTAATAGAAAACGCGTCGTCAGATATAATTTAACAAGTCCTATATGATGAGCCGAGTGATAAGCGCTCCATGTAGCGGTAGACAATGTGCGCTGGCCTAATAGGAAACGCGATGCCAGATTTCATGTTACAAGTCCTAAAGGATTAGAGCGCCATGTAGCGGTAACCAAATAGGAAAGGGAAAAATGCTTCCCAGCTTTATTACCATACCACTAGGTGCAATGGCAATGGGCGCGTTTTTTTTCCCCATCGATATATTAGGTCTGTTCGCAGAGAAATCACAAACCAGTCAGAGCAAATTTCATTGGTTGAAACTAGTTTTCTGACCGTTTCTGATTGTTTTCAACCAATGAAGTTCGCTCTGACTGGTTTGTGATTGCTGTGCGAACAGCCCTATTATCCACTATTATGAGAAGGTCATTCCGATGTTCTATGAACTAGACAAAGAGAGACTGCTCATCGATTGAACGCAAGAACGTTGATCCACCGGTGAAAAAAAGAAATGCGCCTAATTACATATCAAATGACAAAATTAAGTAAATAAATCAATTGATAAATAGGCTTTTATTTCCAACAGGCAAAAGCAAAAACCCACTTACAAGAAAATAACAATTCACTAAAGATAAAATTTAATAAAAGAAAAATATTAACCAATGACAATAAACTACAAACTTCTGCTGAGAACACTCAAGATGAGAATCATTTTCCTAACAACTGTTAAAACAAATCTTACCTCACAAGAAAAATATGCGCTTAAAGCATGTGAAATTTTCAAAAATCTCTCAAATAGTCCAAATCCAAAATATCATCTCAAAAAACAGTAAACTAATAAAATAACCCATAAACAAAACAATAAAATCTAGGTTATAGTCGTGGTGCAAACACCCTACCGCCCTACCTCAAAAGAGGCGGGAAAGGACAGGCCGTAGCTGACAATAGTTGTATTCCTTTCAAGAGTTTGAAACACTCGAGCTCCTCGCTTCGGTGCTCAGTCGCCCCCGATTTGCAGGGAACAGATGCGTGGTGCAACAAACACTTTTCGAAAGGAATAAGTGCGTGAAGCCCCGGAGCTGTTCCGGAGCTCCTCCTAGGTGTGAAAGGAATACAACTATTGAGAGCTCTAAAGTTTGTTTTTTGTTGTTCGGGGGCCAAGGCTGTTCGGGGCAGCACTACCTGCTTTCGGAAAGTTCAAGTTAGTGCCACACAAACAAACAAACCTATTGAGGGGTAGTTCCAACCGACATGATGAGAACCCTTCCAGAACCATAGTTTCCAGTTGCGCACCTGTAGGTTGGAACCAAGAACCAATGAATTTGGATATGGAACAGAGCTCACACCACAGACTGGCTATGTTCCGTCATCAACTGCCAGTACTAGATTTTACTGTGCTGATTTTACTCATTTGCCTTTCCGATTTCAACAGCCTACTGTTTTGCTAGAATAAAAAGGTACTGCAGGGAGATTCCAAAATCACGATTCGACAACAGGACGCAGCTCGATACCGACCTTGTCGTCTCCAAAGTATGATTCCAATGAGATTTCAACATAGGATCATCGGAAAAAATCGTCTCGTTTTCAAATCGTGTGTCGAATCGTAGGTAATTCTAGAATCTCTGTCCAGTAAATATTAATGACGTCACTGGCGCATTCAAAACGTCATTTAGTACTGAAAATCAGTACACTGATTCAAACGATCATTGCGTACCTACTGAAAATCGTTTTTCAGGTAGGTATGGTTATTCGAAAAGTGTTTGTTGCACCTAGGGCCGATACTTTTGCTCTCGATTAATGAATTTGATACGTTGTCAAAGTTTTGTATGAGCCAAGGTCTATAAGTATGATGTCGTTAGAGCACATTCTAACCCCTAATTATTTTTAACGGCTGTTAAATGAGAGCAAAAGTACCGGCACCTAAAGTGCTCAAGCCCGAATGAAACCATTTAGGGCGGTTATTATAAAACTGCTTTGACAGTTAACTTGAAGTTAACTTTTTGATTTAAATGTAGATTCAGAGAAGTTAACTCTCAAAGTAGTTTTATAATACCCGACCTTAAATGCACGAAAGCAAGCGCATCTGTTCCTTTCAAATCGCGGTCGACTAACACCGGAGCGAGTAGTTCCAGAAGAGCTCCAATGTTCTAAGCTCTTGGAAGGAATACAGCTATTGTGTATCGGAAACAACATTAGAACAGCATTAAACAGTGCTCACGCTGATTCCAATGATTGAAAAACATACAGATGTGATCATTCTCTCGCAGGCCAAATGCTATACTTTAACTAATGAAGATTGAAAGCAATCCGTGTTCCCAATTGTTTGCCCTTTTTCCGTGCGTTCGGTATTTTGATCTGAGTTCTCCGAGCTTGTATTTACCGTACGTTTATTTAAAAAGTGTACTCGGTGCAGGCTCATTTGCGTTCGTTTATTAAAATTTCGGGCGCTCTGATACAGCGTTTAACTGCTCTGTGCGCTCGCTGGTCACGTAATTACGATTTCGCTCAGCACGCTCTGTGCTTTGAGCAAAATACCGAACGCAGGTCTGTTGTTGTTGCTACTATACAAAGAGCCAACGCCAAAACAGAAAAAAGAAGAGTTTTGAAGAATAATGGCGTCCATTTGTCAAACGCTTATTGCTTATTTACTTTTGTGACATTTGTTTATCAAAAATTTTTATTTTTAATTTTTACAAAGGAATATTTCTTTTTTAGGTCATCCAATTGCTTATTTGGAATAGCGCCATGAGGTGGGTGTTTTTCAACATATTATCATTAACCCAACTCCTAGGTTTCACACCTACAACTACAAAAATCCACCAAACAAAAATAATGTATTGTTATCCATAAATATCCGTTTTTAGTGGTCCCCGCATGGGCAATCTTGGTCAAATGAACGGAAATCGTAGGCCTAATCCATCCCGTATGAATTACCACGAAAGTAGACAAGGATCCTCTTACCAAGATCACAGGCCTGCTTACCAAGATCACAGACAAATATCACATGAAGGAAGGCACGACAGCAGACCGCACGATTCAAGACAGTACGATCACAGACAACATGAAAATAGGCAGTCGTTTACGCATCAACAAATGCCTCAACCGACTTCAATGAATTCACAGCATGACGAATTGATTAAATATATTTACGAGTCTTGGTCGAAAATTGAATTAGATAAGGCTTCTAATAATGCTTTTTATTATCAGGAGCATGAGAATCATCATTTGAAGGTAAGATCTGATCAATTATATGAAAATAATATAATGTTTACGTTATTTTTAGGACTTTCGCCCATTTGATCTGGAAGCGTTCTGGGGTAGAAAGGTGCATGCCACTCATCAGCAACATTTGTCATAGCAACTTTATAGTATACACTAATTTACACTACTTTTATGCATTATTTAGTGTTGATTCTCACACTATATTATATAAAACAAAACATAAAAATTGTGTAATTTTGGTGAGTTTTTTAGATTATGATTGTTTTGAATTATTATTAATTTTTGAGTGTCAATTTTACAAACTTTTTATTTTAGGTTTTAAGACTTAGGGCAGTATTGTAATAGCTATGTAATCATTTAAAAGTTAGAAAAAAAAACAATATTGTAGCTGCTCATTATTTACACCATTTTACTACTATTTTTTAGTAGAATTAATTGCTTTGTGAAAAGTAGCAGTAATTATTGTACAGACAAATTAATTGTATACAATTTTTTAGTTCGAGTTCTACAAATATTAGGCTTTTTACTCAGTATTGTAATTATTATTATTATTGTTTTTTTGACATTCCCCATTTTTTTTCTACATGAATATGTAATTTTATTGTTAAAAATAAAAACTTATTATTTCAGACTTCATTTTTGTTTATCTTATAACCGGATTTAACTCCAAGTCAAATATGATTAATCTGAATGGAAAGTATCCTAGAGCTGCTTTTATACAGGGTGGTTCATTGTCCATTTAACTCAAGACAAGACACATCCTTGGACAAGACAGTCTAATCATAATACGTCTGTTCCCAGTTCCCGCAGAAATCACAAACCAGTCAAGAGTGAATTTCATTGGTTGCAACCAAGGATAATACACACTACTACCATAGTATAGTTTATCCTCATAAGGCCTGTGTAGAACAAATCTGAAGCACCCCACGGCCACCACCACGCCAAAGCACCAGTGATGACGTAGCCAGCATGTCGTTTTGGAGTAGGGTGTTTGCACCACAGGTTATGGTTCCGTGGGCTTTTGCTTTATGCATACTTTGCTTCACTAATTAATACGTTAGGCAATTTTTCGCGAGGATAATCAAGCATAATCTCATTACGCTGTGTGTCAATTGTGTCATACTCTCCTAACTTCCTCTCTATGAAATTCTGGGCCTGCGAGTGACGTCACTATCAACAACTTATATTGATGACGTCACCTGCACGCCTCTATGGAATGGTTGCGATCTTAGATTGCCATTCAGGGGTCGTATTTTCGAATTAATTCGAGTACATTTTGTGCACGAAATTTGACTGACAGCTTTGTAAATTAAATGGGGAGCATTCGAAATCGTTTTGGATTTCGTATGCGGAAATATTCGAAAATACGACCCCAAGCTGTGCTAGTGAGTTGATTTTTTCGTCGATTTTAAATGTAGAAAAAAGGTGATTTTCAGTCTGTTCTCACAGAAGAAATTAGGTCTGTTCCAACGAGTTAAAAACCTTCCATTGAACGGGTTCGAAACCACTCAGTATATACTGTCACGGCTTTGGATTGCCTGACAGAAATCTTGGGTTCGTTTCGTTTATTCCTAACACAGCAACAATTTATTCCACGTAACAATACACTCTGACACTAATTACTTTAATAACTAACTCAACGACAACAATTAAACTCTACCACAATAATCACTATTAAAATCGTATCACAGTCGAAATGAAACTTAAACCTACAATCTAAAACCCTTCCTTACATATAGCCGTAATTTATTCCTGTAAATTCCAGAAGAACCGCGATCGGCGTTGTTCCCGAACATCACGTAAAATCTCGAATCTGCTGCTATGCGATTCTTGACACAATGGCGGCCGTTGCAGTACGAATTTCGGATTCTAGGCACAAGTTTTAGGCTTTGCGATAGATTATATAGTAGTAGTGACAGTTTATATAGTATTTATCTCTGGCTTTGCGCAGAATCGTGACATACACTGTACGGTTTTCTCATAGTCCTGGAGTAGCCCAGAATTTGATGGTGATTGATTATCCTCGCGTAAAACGACCGCTGGCGCAAACAGCTGACGACGTTGCCAATGGTGCTACACAATATTGGCTGCGATTCCCAAAAACTATAGTGACTCTATTACCACAGTGGCGACAATTGGCCGTCTTCTTTTTGATTGGTTCTTTAAAATCCCATATATTCATAGGAAAAACGCCGCCATTTTGTGCCCAACCTCTTGCTACTTTTAAATATGATTGCATAGGATTTAAATAGATACCATCAGAAAAAATTGAAAACAACGTATCCGATGACTATAATTAGGTACCATCCTCACCAAAAGTATCTGGGACAAAAATAATGCATAATAATCTCCTGGACTAATTCTACTCTCATTCATTTCAATGCATTTAATTCATAGTTTGACAAATATTTGCCAATAAAATTCATATAATAGGACAAGAGCTAATGTGATGCTGTCCCATCAGTTACTTTTGGTGACGATTGTACATCAAATAAGTTGTTTTAAACTTTTTATGATGGATGTACCCATAGAGAAATATAATAAACCAAGGTGAGAGTTACCGATTCTGTGGTACGACACTGGCAACACGATGACGTCAGATCGATACTAGCGCCACCGTACACTACAAGACCAACTTAAATAACATTTGGCGGGCTTTTTGAACTTTTAAATTATAGTTTTGTTATTTCTGAAGGTAGAAATTTAACCCAGCGTTTTTCCGCGGTCGACAGAAAAAAAATTGCGGAAAAACGCTGGCCTGGAAACAAAAATAAATACGGTTAATCGCCTAAAATTGGCTCATATATTTTCATCTTTCACGTGGGTAAATAACTCAATGGGTAAATCAGTCTTTTCTCTACAATCACATATGGATTTTTTGTCAAATATGACTATCCCTGTCATTGCCGTAGGTATAGCTGATGAGCTCCTTTTACAATAGGGAAAAACGGGTGTTCCACTTTTTATGCTCACTACTACTATTGTACATGAATAGAGCAAGCCGTTGACAATAGACAGACTCGGTACGCATTGGAATTAGAGTTGCCAACCCTCCCGATTTAAGCCTAGTACTCATAACTGCGAAATTCGCATTTTTTTGACATTGCTTCGACAAGACAATTTGACGTTTGATACACGCATAAAACGTCAAATTGTCAACGCAATGTCAAAAAAATGCGAATTTCGCAGTTATGAGTACTAGGCTTTAGGCGGGATATTCCCGCTTTTTTGTCACGCCTCCCGCCTTAAGCCATCGCAGCAAAAACTCCCGCTTTCTAAAAAAACTCCCGCTAACTCCCGCTTTTGAACAATTTCGCATTTGACTAAAGAAAAATAATAATTCAATATTTAGAAAAAGATTTTTTTTTTTTTTTTTTCGCTATTGGACATTTGCATCTCTATTCAATATTTAGTATTTAGGGTTTGGATGTTCTTGGGTTTGGATATGAAAAAGCGCCTACAGATATTATAAACACGAACCAAAGTTAATACTGTTTGTTTCACGAGGGTTTGTACTTTTGCCTGCTTTTTTTAACAAATAAAAATTTACTGGAACAAGTAAATGACGTCAAAAACATTCGTCGGTTTTTAAACCAGAAGTCATATAAGTCATTCAATACAATAAATACAAAATCTGAACGCTATTGAATTTATATGAATAATCTACGACAAATCTTTTTTTCCAAGTTATGACATTATCGATGTCATAAGCACAAACCTTCGTGAAATGAACTTTAGGTTATTTGGTAATAGGTAACTTGATGACGTCATCTGGGGTGCCTTATGGAGATTTGCATTATGTTGAGGCGCCCCAGATATGATGTCATAAAAGTTATAAGGCAACCTAAACTTGTCATGTACCATCGATTACGCATGCAGTCCAAAGCTTATCCAAAGTAATTTGTTTAACAAAAGATACATTTGACTGACAGGGGGTTTCAAACGTCTGTTTCGTGAAAATTTTGACGTGGCACCCAAAAATTTCCTCTATATACTCGCTCGGGTATTATAGCGATTTCCATTTGTCCAACCAGTGCAAAAAAAATGTATCCTTATCCTTAAGCCTAGTACTCATAACTGCGAAATCGGCATTTTTTTGACATTGCTTACAATTTGACGTCTGATACACGCATAAAACGTCAAATTATCAACGCAATGTCAAAAAAATGCGAATTTCGCAGTTTTGAGTACTAGGCTTAACATGTTATATGCTTTTAGAAAAAGATTAAAAAAAAAACACACTTGTGTGTGCCTCTTGGCGGCCATTTTAATTCAAGTTGACAGCATCTTGGATAGTTTAATGAACTATAACCAAAAACTGGAATGCTAACACATAAGGACGAACGTGAAGCCTAGTGCGGCTGCTGCGGAGGGGATACCTGTTTTTGTCGCACTCATTATGTTAAATGGCGAAAATTGCTTCCAACACGTATTCCAATTGATGAAACCTGTGAAGGGAAATATGACAAAACTTTTGAAAACGTCATATGTCAGCGAGCAACAGAAAAACAATGAACTATAGCTAAAAACTGGAATGCGCACACATTGCCATATCTGCCAAAAAAATGAAGCCATGAAAGACAGATGCCACAAGGGGGAATGTTGTTTTTTTCTGTTGCTCGCTGACATATGACGTTTTCGAAAGTTTTGTCATATTTCCCTTCACAGGATTCATCAATTGGAATACGTGTTGGAAGCAATTTTCGCCATTTAACATAATGAGTGCGACAAAAACAGGTATCCCCTCCGCAGCAGCCGCACTAGGCTTCAAGTTCGTCCTTATGTTCATTGGAAAAAAACAACATTCCCCCTTGTGGCATCTGTCTTTCATGGCTTCATTTTTTTGGCAGATATGGCAATGTGTGCGCATTCCAGTTTTTAGCTATAGTTCATTGCCCGCGCCATTTCGGAGTTCCGAAGCATGGAACACCGAAATAATGGTAGGTATACGAGGGGGCAGGGGATAACAGAAATGATTAGTTCAAGTGTACGACACTCTAAGCACTGGAACGCACAAAGTAATTGCGGAGCACTCCTGAGCTGCTCACGAGTAACTCAAGTGGGTCACTGGAAAGCACCTGATTGACCAAAGCTCTGTTCCAACCGACATGAGAACCATTCTAGAACGGTAATTTCCACTCGATCAATTCATTTGTCAAGTAGGATAAACGCGAGAACGATAATCCCCAAGAAGATGGCCGCTTCTCGTAAGCGCCGCGTTCACCAACTCTAGCCGACCGCAAAAATCAATGACCGGACGCGTGACCTACTCTGGCCCACTCATTGCAAAGATTTGGTATTTGGTTACATTGTTCGATATCGCTCTTGATGAAAATTCGAGAGGTTTAATATAAATCTTGTCGAAATTTATTCTATCAAAAGCCAAAATGCCATCATTAATGGATAAACCATACTATCATTCTATACCAATAACGCATAGAACTTGTTTCGAGTGGGCCAGGTGACGTCACTACAGCAGCGCGTGGTCGCACTAAACTGGCGGAAAGAAAAGCCGATGTGACCATTCTCTGTGGTTTATCGTTCTTGGGGGATAAACGTTCAATCATGGGGCAAAAATGGGTAGGCAACTGGAAATTACTGGTGCTGGCACGGTTCTCAT